TTTTTTTGGCATTCTACTTCCTTATCATTTTTTAATATAACAATCTTACAAATATCATGTTTATCTTTAATTTGAAAATAGTTCTAAACATAACTTGATTTTTGATCAGGTAGATTATTGATATTTACTCTGATTTTTTTTGTATTTCATTCTCTGATAGGCTCTTCAATAGTTTTTCTTCTAGTTGTATTATTAGAAGTCTCGCTATCATTTTTATAAGGTTCAATATCAGTATTATTATAAGAATTAGTATAAGGATTAGTATCAAAATTAGCAAATAGTTCACTAGTTATAGAATTATTAGAGGATAGAGATGTAAAAATTAGTATCATAGATATAGAAGAGGCAGTATTACTATCTATTATTGTTATAATAAGAGAATTAAGAGAGCAAGTAAAATATAAAGCAGATAGATAATTTGACAATATATGATGATTATTAATAACTGTTTATTCAATCTTTTCTTTTTTCTTTTTTTTTTTTAGATAATTTTGAGTTTATTATTTTATATTTGTTCATAAAATATATATATTTTTTTCCTTAAATGATCTTGCCCTTTATTTATTAAGAGAAAATATAAAAAGTGTTATAGCAAAAATATAAAATAAATAAAACTAGCTATACAACTACTCTTTTGACTTAAATTCAGACTCACTTAGCTACTTAAAGTGCCTAGGTATAATTTGCTATAATAACAAATTTTTCTCTCAAAAGAGTAGAATATTTAAACAAGATCTTACTCTAAAGATCTATAGAAAACTATTATATGCTCATATCAAAATTGCCTAATTATTTTTGAAACTTAACCAACTATCTTTACTTCTTCCTTCAATTTATCTTTTATCTTTGCTTTCAGCTTCTTTCTGAATTCTTATTTCTTTATCTTGTTCTGATTCTTTAATCTCGTTTCTTATTAGAATTTGATTTTCTTTATTTCCTTGCTTTTTTTTTACTTTGGTGTGGAAGTTATATTTAGACTTTTTCTTCTTTTTCTTGTTGTTGATATTATTTCTTTTCTCCTACTTTGATATTACCTTATAACAAAATTTCCAAAGCCTTTAAAGAAGTTTGACTAGAATATTTTAGTAAACCAGCAGATAGCTTTGTTTACTTTAGAAGTTGAGCCTAGAAAGTTTTTAGTTTCTGCTACTAAACTTTTATTAATAAGCTCTTATATATAGAGTTTTCTTTTTTGAAATCTAGTTTCTGTATTTGAACCTAAAAAAATCTTATTAAGTATTTGGCTTCTTATTGTAATTTCTCATTTAGAACTAAGCTAATACTCTAGCTTCTCCATTATAAATACTTTTATTTTTTTTTAAATCTCTTGATATATTAGACATTCTGCTAAGTATTCTAATAACTCTACTTTTATATAGCAGGCAAAACAAGTTTTGCTTTTATAAAGTATAGAGTCTCTTTGATAGCATATATCTTTTATAGATAAAAGTTTGTTAAGGCATTTAATTCTAAACATTAGTGTATTATTCTTTCTAATGCTTGTACATCTTTTACATTGCTAGTTTTTCAATGTACTCTATGTAATATTCTAGTTCAAATTAGAATTGCTTAGATCTGTTGCTTTTTAATTTAGTACTAGTTTGATACTATTTAAGTTTGCTTATATATTCTTGTTTATTATTGTTATAGTTAGATTAATAAAAGAACTTAGTGCAGTGTCTATTATTTTCTCTTTTCAGATAGAGAATATTCTTATTTTACTTATTATTACTTCTTGAGTCTTGAGTATAAAATCAGATATAAGACCTTCTTTCGCTAAACAATCTGCTTTATCATTTCATATATTTGAGCTATATGTTTTAACTTTAATTAGCTTTAGCTTGATTTCTTTCATTTTGCAACAGTTCAGAATTTGGTTAATTAAACTATGATTTTTGGTGTTAAAGTTGCTCCTTATATTTGTTAAACCCTGAAAGTTCTGAATTTTTTTAATTGCTACTTTACCATTAGAAAAGATCTAAACATTTGCTCTATATAGTACAACTAATAGTGTTACTTAAATTGCACTTAGTTCAGCATGAGTTAACAAGAGCTAGTTTAGTATCTTACTACTAAAACTTATACTATAATTGCTATTACTATCATCTGCTATAACCCATCCTATATTCATCTTTTTACTTTCTCTATCCTCTAATAATTCTATAACTAGTGAACTATTTGTATATATATCTACCTTTTTTTCTCTTTAATAATTCTAGCTAACTTACATAGTTCTACTTATAACTTTTTATCCTTTACTACTCTTTGTATTACTGCCTCTTCTATATCTATGATACTAATTTTTACATCTCTAAAATCTCTACTAACTTTTATATTATCTAATTCTCTATCTCTCTTACAAGCTAAAATTGTGATTTTCATATATGAGGCCTCTCTATTTCTATAAATTTTCTCTAGCACTTGGTGCTAGCTTTTATGTTTCTGTCTAATTATATAGCTTTGGCTATTACAATTTCCTAGATCATAGCCTTTACACTTTTTTAACATAGTATTCTTTTTGTTATTATTATTAACTACTAATTACTAGTACTCTACAATTAATAATTTAGACTCTTTTCTGATTACTTTTTTACTTTCTACTTTTATTCCCTTCTCAAAGATTATTTACTTTTTCTTTCTCTTGTCTGTAAAGACTCTTCTATCTTTGTACCTTATTGCTATTCTATTCAGTATTTCTACTTGATAATTCTCTTTTATCTTTCTTAAACTACTATTTACAAGTATTTTTTTTTCTATACTTTTATATCAATTTGGTTTAAGTCTTTTACTTTAAGATCTCTGATATGTTTAACTTGTTGCTATATTAACAAAGTGTTACCTTCATTATTAATTAGTTGCTCAAGTATGAAGATATTTATATTATTACTATTTCTGTAGTTGTTTATCTTTTTTCTCTCTAGTATAGTTAGTAAGCTAGTACTTTCTATATCTAGCTTAATTTTATATGCATTACTTTCTTAAAAGCTGAATTTGAGTTTTCTTGTTTTGCTTATTATTCTAAATACTAGATTGAACTTGAGCTTAATGTCTTCTAGCTTTTCATCACTACTGATAATGTTACCTAAACATATATTTCTTAATTGTGCTTCATTTATTCTAAGTCTAGTAGTTACTTCTAATTCGTCTAGTCTGTTTATTCATATTATTAGCTCTGTAATATAGTGTACTAACTAATTTTGCTAAATTATATATATATCTAAATCTTAGTATGACTACATATACTATTTGGAGCTGATTTAGCTAAATCTATCTTGTTTTTAATTAATATTCAAATAGGTTTCTGTATATGTTTATATATGTTTATTGAGAG